AGCCTTGGTATAATCCAGAATTTCGACCATGATGCTGATTTTAAAAAAAAAAAAAAATAGAAAAAAAACTAATAGGTAATGGGAATGGGGGGGTGATTCCCAAAGGAAGTCAGAGGGGCAGGGGAGGGACGGCCTTTTAAGATTGTTGGATGTGGAGGTCACCTGACCATCAGTCCGGTGCGGCAGGCACCAACTTCAGGAAATACAAGAACTGGAAATACAACTCTCTCCCTCTTTCATCGCAGCACTACACTGTAGTCCAATCAAAGAGGACTCCGGCAGGGGAATTTTAGCGAAAAGCCTTTCGTTTTCTTTCTTTTGATGATCTACACCCCCACAATGACCGGTTTAATCCCTCAGAAGGATTTTTACCTACGGAGTTCGGACTTCTCCGTAAACAACGCGTTTTTGTTACAGGCTTAAACTTGGGATACCGTAGGGAGTAGGGCTGCGGCCGCCGGCCCCACAGAACCGAAAATTTAAATGCGCTAACCTTCCGAGGCTGAAGCCTAGATTTGCCGATTCGGGATTCGGGTTTTTATTTCCTATATTGTTTCCGAGTCTGATTCTGATTTCCTCGATATGTAGCCAACCTATAGAAATTGGTGACGTTTAGGCGAGCTCTGCTTCAATCAAGCTCTCCGCCACGCCTGGATACGAATATATATTGACCACCTTTAATCCCGCCTGGGTGAAGATATATCTCCATTCAGCTTCTGTTCTCTCCTTCACTGCCAAGTGGGCCAGCATAATCATATCCATATTAGTTGCCGCTAGAATGGGGTTCTCCTCGCTAACGACAATCTCATTCAAAAGAACTCGGGAGTATCCCTTCGCCAGCGCAGGCACTAGGTTTGTCATTATCTTGATTGCATCCTCGTCTCCGAAGCCATGGGGAACAGAGTGCATGTAGTACGCCCGAGCGTATTTGACCGGCTGCGGTGTGAAGATGTTATGAGCCGTCGCTTCAAATTGGCGGGATTCATCGGCCGGCATGCTAGCAATGGTTTGTTCTCGATCCTGAAGCACGAGCCTTCCTGGAAGAGGACTGAATTTAGAGGCAAAAGTCTCGAGGTCGTGCCCCCGACCACCGCCCACATCGACCAGCACAACATCGCTGACAGAGGCATCGAACCCGGAAAGGAGACGCTCTGAGACAGGGTAGAAACCGGTGTCGCACCAGTTTGGTTTTCCAGCACGGTAAACACTCATGTAAGAGTGAAAATACTGCAGATAGGGGGGTGTGTTGACAAGCCATTGCAGAAAGGTGAGCTCAGTCTTATGAGCAGCTTGGAATGGACCATCAGTTCCACTCAGCGTCGGGGTCTTGTACCCATTGCTCTTGAAGAATTCCGGGAATTCATTGAACGAGGGCCTGGACACATCATGACAAAAGCGGATGGAGTGTTGATAGTTCTCGGCGGCAAGGCTATCGCTCAGGTCTGTGCCATGGAATGCTCCATTTTGAAACGTAATCACATTCATAGCCACGAGGTGTCTGGCCAAGCGCGATAGAAGGCTGGCATCAACGCCCGTCTTCATAGACAGAGCTTCACAATCTATCCCCTTACCCGCGGCATCTTTCAAGTGTTGAAACATATTGACATCAGCAGCAAGCCTGATAATAGCAGACAGTGCTGGCTATATGAACATCAGCAATAGTTTCGAGTCTTACCCCGCCAAATCAGGCTTACCTGAGACCAGAAAGTGTGTTGAATAAACTCGCTCGGAACTTCAAGAGCGGATATCAGAGCTCTACTATGAGCAATGAGGGATTCTCTTGCACCAGCTTCATTGTTCTCAAATTCTTTGGCTGCCAAGGTAATCCCTTGGAGGATGGAGGTCACAGACTTGGTGAGCATGGTGCTTTTGATGAACGATTTCAACTCAGAGAATATGGGAGAAAGGTGTACACAATATCATGTTAAAATTGGAAGATGACCTATTATATTTGTAGCCGTGGCTGGCGACACCAAAGCCTCTCACATGCCGTCCTAAACGGAAATCGGGGTCTTTCGATGTATAGTCGACGCTAGGTGGAACCTGGGGGCTGTCCATGGATGTTTTTGGTCTGCCTCGTTGTTACTGCCATGATGCCTAGTACTTTTCAAGTTTCTCTAGTTTTGACAATACGACCGGGGTTTAAATTAAAAGATTTTTATCTCTGCTCTTTTTAGCGTGTATGTATGAAATTTCCATCCAAGTGGGCCATGTAGTGGGCCATGTATGTTGTATGTACATGTAAATATTGGGGCGGTAATACGGTGTAAGGCGGGTGACTGGTGCTAGGTCACCCGCCCCAATCCTGTCCTAGTAAATTTCCGTCGAATTTGGGTCGGACGGAACGTTGAAATCCGATCCGAGGTATCTTTGGGTAAAAATACATGTAAAGGATATAAAACTATTATCCAACTATTATTCAACTATTATTCAACTATTCAATATTACAAATGTTTTAGAATCAAAACGTCACCTGCATGCATATGTCGGGTAACCTCCCCCATTTCGGTACCCTTGCTACGGACCAATGAAAATGTACGTTTTGTTTGGGATCTACAACATACATATAAAGTTACATACGGTAAACGGACGGTATATGAAAGAGCTGATGTGAAACTTCTGGTTAGAATGAGAGATATAATTCAAACGGTGTGGGAAGCGGGGTTATTGTAAGGATGTCGATCTCGCCATGTCGTCTGCTGGGTTTCTCCAGGACCACCCTGGCCTTGGCATACATCCAGCGACATATCAATCGTGTGCACTAGACCTCACTTGATTGCTAATGTTAGGCGATCTGTGGAGATGCAGACGGATAATCAAGGGTTGTTGGGATTCACGAGGATACCTCGATAACATAAAATTGAAAAAGTAGACATTTGGCCATCTAGTATCTACAACTTTTCCTTTCTCCCACCCTTACCACGTCCACTAGGCATTGGTTTTAAGACTTTATACCAGTTCTCCTCTAGCACTAGATGACTCTTGCCTTTCCTTTCTTCTTCCCACTCCCTCTCCATCTGCCGGAATCGATTCATCTCCTGCTGTAACCAGGCCACACATGGCCCTACAACAGTCCCAATCTCCTGAAATGGCATCAAATGCCCCAATCCAGGTAAGATAACCTCTTTCACTCTTCCCTCAGACACACCTCCACTCCCGCCGATGCCTGACCCGCATATCTTGACACCTTCATGAATCTCATCGACATTCAAAAACGTCGCCCCGCCCACAATCCACAGGCATGAAGGCCGGAGTGTCCCTAAGCGGCGGAACGTACTTCGAGGTTCTGGTCGGTATAAGGGAATAGATGCCACCAATGGGTCCATATCGGCATGGGTGGCTCGTGGGATTTCGATCCGGCCCGTGGTCGGGTCCCGGGCATTGAAGTTCTGCCGTATTTGCGCTATAAGCTCGTGGTACTTCGGCGTCGCTAGGGTGACCGGAGTGGCAGTAGTATCAGCGGCTGCATCAAAGCGCGCCTTCACGGCCTCGACATCCGGATACAGCGGTGTCGGTAGATCGCGAAAGAAGTATTTCGCCATACGATCTACGCACCGAGGATCCCAGCCATGGATGAGGCCACGGTTGGCACGTATGGCTGCCTCGCGACTGGGCCAGACGTCATTTCGCCAGAGAGTGTAGTTGATCGGGCCTGGAGGGTCGGTGCCGAAGCCCATCGAGGGAGGGCTTAGCTGAATGAGGGGGTCGATAAGGAGGAGGGTTGTAAACAGGCGTGGATGTAGATAGGCAAGATTTGTGCTGGAAAAAGAAATCAGTATCTCATTCTTTGAATTCTCAAAATTGAGAGGGTTATTCGTCACAAACATGATATTCCCGCCAAAACTGTGGCCAACTCCGACGAGAGGACGTGGCATCTGCTCACGAAAATGGTTGATCATCAAGAAGAGGTCTCGCGGGTGATCCATCCAAGAACCTAGGAAATTGTTAATATGGGGGGAGATGTATCAAGAATCGAATGGGAAGCACATACAATCCATACTGAGCTTATCCTCATTCTGGATCCCGCTCTGGTTCATACTGGCGACGTCGGCCACCCAGATGCCATGAATGTGGAAGCCATTAGTTCGTTCCAGCAGCTCGTCCCACAGCGGCTCGTACAGTTCCTGTGTCCAATGTTGAGCACATGAGACGAATTATCAGGTTAAAGACAGGGTCACCTTCGGGAGACCGACTCCATGAGCGGCAATGAAAGTAATTGCATCAGCTGGGACGGGACCTTCGTGTTTGGGGGTATATTGTTTGACATGAATTTTCAGTACATCTTCCTGCATGACGGTGCTCCCTGGGTATTCTCTAATATAACTGCCCGGGACAAGATGCTCAGTAACGGTGAACTTCTCGCTTGACATTGCGAATATTAGAAGTCGGATACAGAATGAAGAGGGAAAATAAAACAGGAAATTGCATGCAGAAAAGGTAGTTAGGAATTTACTAATTTACTAATATCCCTGCTAGTCTTCCTAAGCTACCTAGGCACGTATCTTCCCCTCTTTTTCCTGCAGTCTAAGGCTCCTAACCCCTTCTTTTCTTTTCTTTTTCGGTTACATATACTATGATCAGTAAGTCTAACGAGGTGCAGGTATCTACCTTTTGATGGTTTTATTTATCTCCTTGCACCCTTGCCATGTCATTGTAAATGCATTTTCATATCTTGCATCTGGTGCTACAATGGAATGTACCAGACAATGCCTGGCACTCGAGACCTTTCCCCTTCTATTTAAGTGCTCACCTCTTGCCGCTTTTTGATTTCAGAGTAAATTTGAGTACGCCCCTGATTAGAATTTTGTATGCTTCTCTACTCCTAAATGGTGTACAGATCCAATATCGAAAGTGGGCTCGAGATATGCCTTGCCTTTCTTTAATCGATCACCGGTATTCTCACATGAAGAGTGGTGAACATGGTAATTGAAGGTGACTTTATAAACCTAAGCTTGGCTCAGACCTAACCAAATACTAATACAGAAGTGTAAAGCGTGTATTCATGTGGAAACTTGGCCCCATAGCGCGATATCCAGCAGACTAGCGAGATCGGTCGTACCGTCCTCTCTAATAATAGCGCATTTAGAGCCTCTCAACCCTTCCCACTCCCGAAGACGTCGTTCAATGGTCTCTCCCATCGCAGATGCATTGAAGATCTCGCACACTCTCCAATGCGCATCGAGAATTGCGGGGCTTGGAATCTTATACTCTGTGTTTGGTAAAAATCGGACGCGCCGATCGGGGGAATGGTGGGATATCAGCCCGGGATAGCACTTGCAAGTCTTTACCTCGTACTCATTTCCCATGTCCTAATAAGAAGAGTGAGTATAAATGGTTTCATAGTAGATCATTGCCTGCTTACGGTAGGCTTCAAGGCAATTGTAAATTTGCCAAGCTGGGTATGTACCGAGTCTCGAAGAGTGATCCCGTTGCGAAGAGTATTAATCTCCTTCGCTGACAGTATTTTTTGTGGCGCAGGGAAATACATATACAGTTAGATCCAGGGGCTTGATGTATCTCTTGGAGCTCCGGATACGCCTGGCCAAGAGATAAACGCAAAAGGTGTTATATGAGGCCCCTTAGGCAAGTAAGAGGCAAGTGCGAGGTATCATAGACTGGGTAGCTCGATATAATAAAATAACACGACATGCCCTTCTTGGCCTCTTTCGAGCGGGAGCCGTAGCGTAGCTTACGGGGTTTGGGACTTTAGTCTGCTTCGTCACCTAAAATTAACATCTCCCCTCTATTTAAGATATGAGTATATGGGTCTTACGCGCGACGTAATAGAAGTCGCATTCATCATCGCCACGCCGGCGACAGAAATCGCAGAATGGGGGCCTCTTTATCTATCAGTAAACGTCCCAACAAATTATTAATGAGGATGATGGTTATAATAGAAGTCTGACAGAGAGGTATTGGAGATATCAACACTTACAGCTGAATCCCCAGATGGCATTTTGCCGAGGAAGAGAACGACGAGAAAAATAGTTGCTATTATGAAGAAGAAAAAAGTAGAGGCAGATTGTAATGGGGAGTTTACAAAGGTAAGTTACTTCTGCTGGGTCCCACCAATATATAGCCCACCATATATAGAGCATGTGACCACTGGTTCCCCTTCGTGCTCCCATTGATCGGTGCTCAGTTGACCCGTTATCACACAGCGATAGTTGTCCCGCAGTTGGAACTGTGCGCCGAATGAAGGGTCACGCCTTTCCGGTTGATCGAGGGTTGAAGGCAACTGTATCGACGTGCTCCCGGGCGCCTTTCTCCAAGCTGGTCAGTGAGTCTGTAGGGAGTGTTGACAGTCCGCGGGGTGCTGTGGGCGGGGATACTCTTGCTAATCGACGTATAGCTCGTTGGGCATGTGGCGTGTTGGAAGGTGAAGCTGATCGATTTCTCTTTGCCATTTTGGAAAGGTGTATTTGGAACGGTGTATTGCATAGAATTGATAGAAGCCAAGTGGGGAGCGGGTCGTGGCGTCGATCTCTCGGCCCCACTTTTGTTGCTTACGTAAGAGAGTTCCGTTTTCTGCCGGAGGATTGGGTACGCGATCGGTTGACCGCCCTACCTGAGTAATCTTGGTTCGGTACTGTAGTGCTGCGGGAGTGCTGCAGCACTTGGTGCCGCAGTACTATAAAACAGCACCTGTCAGGGCCTACTTCCAATTGAAACCGAGGCGAGTATGCCGTGGCTTGATATCCATAAAATGATATTGACTTGGTAGTCGAAGGTTTCTGATTGATGCTAATCATAATGCTATGGATAGAATGCCACACCGGCGCCATGCAAGAAAGATAATAATGAGATCGAAGAGATATAAAAAAAAACTCTGGAAAGAATATGTGACCTGGATAGCCAGAAATGACTCCTAATATGGAAGTCAAGATAAGAAATGCACCATTAAACGGAAAGCAAGGGCCCATCGTATGTATGTGACACGACATTGAGAAGATGGGTAAGGAGAGGACAAGAGGACACGGAGAGAGACAGAGGAAGCGGGAGAGCAAGGAGTAATGCACCAGGCAAAGAAAGCACACCGCGATCGCATGGATGCTAATAATAGGAAATCGTCAAGTGAATTGAGCCGTCTGTTCATTGGAAGGCTCACAATTCGCGCCCAGTGAGGACGATGCAGGAGATGCACTGAAGTAAAAGAAGAACAGGTGCTAGTATTAAAAAGCGTAAAGGCGAAGGAAAGATTAAAGCCCTTTAAAGAATGGACTCGCCTCAATGATATCTTGATCATCACAGGCAAAATCCCATCCCACAATGCGAGGGTCCACGCTGGCACAAATGAGCTTCCGTGCGTCAAACTGGAGTTTGAACACCCTCGCAGCTGTCGAGGACCCTTGAGGTCTGCGTTGATGGCCATGGTGGTGATGATGGTGAGCAGGAAGTGGAGCGAGTGGCAAGGCATTGATAACCAGAGGAGGCAGAAATTGTGGGTTGGCACGACCAGCGTGGGGGTTGATATTGGGATTTTGCCCAAGTGTCGCTAGAGCCTGTGCTGCTTGCAATTGCTGAGCCTGGGCCTGGGCCGCAACAGTGTTTCTTGCCACTTGGCTAAGGTTCGCACGAGCGGAATTGGCGATGGCATCACTGTGTCGCAGTTGATGATCCGTTGTCCACTTGTTATTACGGTCTTTGTGCCAAATTAAGATTGACTCGTCGTAGGAACCGGACACGATACGGGCCCAGCTACTACCTCCCCCACCGGGTGGAATTTTTGCCCCCAGAGCAGGGATATCACGAGGGTCCCGCGATCCCGCCGTGTTCGGTTGGTAACCATTGCGGCGTTGCTCCCGATGACCCATGTCGACGTCCAATCCGGCCTCTTGAGCGGCGAAAAACGCAGTTTCACACGCTATCGCTTCTTCACGCAAGGTTTCATCGGCTCCCGGAGCATCACCGAACCCTGCTTGAAGGGTGCGGACGAGATTACTATGGGCTCGCAGACACGCCACCTCGGCTCCGGTGGCATGATCGTAGATGCGAACAGAGTTATCATTGCTGCCACTGATGATCCTTCGGCTGTCGAATTCAACACATGCGATGCCTTTCTCATGGCCCAGCAAGGACTTGGAGCAAGCACCAGTCCGGATGTTCCAGACCTTGATAACACGGTCTCCAGACGCCGTCACAATATCATCACCATGGATCTGCATTGCATTCACGGCGGCTCCATGTCCTTCCACGGTCATAAGCAACGTGTAAGGCTCTAGGACTTTGTATTGATCATGCGCAATGCCAGCTTCGAGAACACTCGGTGGAATCGTGTTCAAATCTATTATCCATGTAGGATATGTGGCGCCTGATCCATGGCAGATATGCGGATAATCCTTGCTATTCGGTAAAAGAGCTCGGCGGTTCCATACCTTCACAGTTCGGTCCTTAGAACATGTTACAAGGTAACGATGGTCGAATTTGAGATTGAGCACCGAATCAAGATGCGCGTCTTCGATTTGATGAATCTTTTCTCCGGTGGAGAATTTCCATATAATGACAGACTTGTCGCTGCTGCCAGAGATGATGATGTCTTCCTCGGGTCGAGGATCAAATTGCAGACAAAGTACGGACTTTATATGTCCCACCAGCGGGGGATGCCATAGTCGTTTGGTATCCAGGTTCCAGACTCGTAGAGTCTTGTCTCGGCTGCCACTGACTAGCCATCGGCCTTCAAACTGGATCGCATATACGCATTCCCGGTGGGCCTCCTCTGGGTGAGACGGGTCAGGAAGTTGGAAATTAGTGTATCGGCCTTGATGCCAATTTGCTTCGAGCCGCCTGCGTTGCTTGTAGATATGAAAATAGTTGACCTTGGCGCTTCCGTCGGTATCCCGAATGAGAAGATGCGATCGTAGAGGTGGGTACAGTGGCGAAAAAGATTGGGAGGTACTGGTTGGCATAATCAACTCCGGGTCGTCGGCGAACGAAGGTGTAGTCTGATCGTCATCATCAGTCATGTGGTGATCACCTTCACTGTCGGCCACCGGGAGTGCAGGGCCAAACACGGTCGGTTTTTGGTTTTCATCGCTTCGGGAATTGAGCCAGGTCGACGGCACGCGCTTTTTATGCTTAGGTTCCCCGAGATCTGGTTCCGAGTGTCGTAGGCGAGACTTCCGAGTCTGGGGCGACATGGCCTCGGAATGTTCTTGTTCAAACGCACGAATTGCGCCCGTGTCCATGCCCCAACCTTCGTGGATGTATTTGAATTTCCACAGACCTGAGTCAAGGATACGTTCACGCCATGAGCGGGATGCAAGCGAAGCATTCAGAAGCGTCCGGGCGTCGAGGTAGGTAAAAACCTGCCATGTGACTTCCGGGGGAAGCCTGACACATGGGTCAATATGGAAGATTGGGTTGAGTCGATCAACTACTGCCGCGATGCTCGAAGTTGGTAAAGACCGAAGAAGGCTGTATGCGAGTTCTGGGAGTCGTGAACCCTCAGTTAGCAAGGATAATCGCAAAGTGACGAGCAAGAGGCTGATGCTTCGCGCTCGTGGCAATTACCACAGGGGGCAAGGGGAATAGGGTAATCTTACCAGCTCTACCGGTCTCGGACTGGGCGAGCAACCAACTTGGAAGCGCCATAACATTGTCCGATCCCAGGTCTTTGTCGGCCTGGCTTCGAGTATCATCCGAGTAGCCTTCATCTAGCTTAAACGAGGGTGACAAAGAAAGCGCGGGGAACTCGGAAACAGTAGTCGTCTGCAATTGCAGTGTAGGGGAGATTCGAGCATCGGCGGCATCGGGAGCATCGGGCAAGGGCTCGCCCTCCATTGATGCGGGTTTCAGAGGGGTCTGCGCCGGGCTGATGAATGGAACGCCGAAATCAATGGCGTCGCGCGATGGCTGTGAAATCCTGCAAGGAACTTTCCGTGAAGAGATTATAGAAAATTAATAAATGAGGTAAGGTCCTTTGCAAGATGAAGGTTGTGGGGAAAGGAAGGAGAAGGAGGTTGAGCAGATGGGTTGGCCTCGGTGCATGTCACGTCAGGTTTGGACGAGGCAAGGCCCACCAGCCCTGGAGATTGATTGATAGAGCGCAATTATCTCACGTACTTCAGTCGCAAACTGAATAGAAGGAAGATATTCCATTTAAATTCGAGACAGAAGAAAAGTAGAATTTCAGTAGAGTCTATATCTAAATACAGAGTCATCCTCAAGAGCCTATAGTTGTTGCCCCCGTGAGTCACGTGATTCGAGTATAGAACTCCCCGCTAGCTACTTCGGGTATATCCGCCGCCGGCCGCAATTGTCCACCATGTTGTGTAGATCACTATAACCCGACCGCACCATTGAAGTACTTTTTTATGCCTATGAAAAGACATATAAAGACTGCTAGTATTCTTGTTAATCTAGATTATCTTATAGTGTAGATCAGGTGATCTCTAAATAGGTATAGAAAGGTACTTCAATGGTGTCATGGCGCGGGTGTTCAGAATACTGTAGGGATATATATTATTGATAATTGTGGCCAGCGGTGGA